ATGAAGAAGCCAGTGGAGCTTTGAAAGCTTGCAATATATGTTTTGTGCTTTCTGGTGGGCCCAATAAGGGCATCACTGTTTTGTGGATTTTGGATGTTACTTTGCTATATGGCCAACATGGCTATCCCTGGATATGTTTCCAACATTATCTTTGTTCACTATATCCAAAGAGGCCATTGCAGACAAAGACACCATCCGTTAGAGACACAATGCAAACTATACACTCAGTATTGCCCTGGTGTAATTATACAGGATTAAGTGTTTCCATAAGAGAAAACTGTTTGGTGGAAAACCCACATCAGATTATGTTAATGGTCCTTCCTTGCTTCCCCTCCCCCTCCTTATTTTGCATATGAACATTTCCCTAACAACTGGACAATCAGACTTAAAAGACCTGCCAACATAAATGTAGTAGGTCAGAAAAGGCATTTGTTCGTGTAAGGGATTAATGGAGGCCTTGTATTATGCTGCTTTTTGGAATTACTCTCAGGATTAAGAGGCAGATATAGCAAAGGGACATATTTTGTATTCACTATCCATTTTGATTAATGCTTACTGGAGGATGCGGGGAGGGGAAGAGATACAAATTATTGAACTAGCTTCAAGAGCTGCATGGACACACTATCCTCTCTCTCTGCCTCTCTCCTCCCTCCTTCCATACTCTCTAACATTTCACAGATGAAAATCAGGACACATGTGACCAAGCAACATCTGTGTGTGCTCCAGATGGAAAAAATTGATTATTGAGTCAGTATAGACAAGCTTGGAAAGACTGCAGCAGTTGGCTTTTGCCTGAGCCTACTGGGAAAGGCGAGATCGTGCCCCCTCCTCTCTTCTCCTGCTGGCTGAGTTCTTTGCACTTTGAACTCAGTTTGCAGCAGCTGAAGTAAGCTGAGGACAAAGGGGAAAGTGGAGGAAGAGAAAGAATCTGGGACACTAAAAGTGGTGAGCAAGTGGCAGAGGACTAACTGGGACTGTCCCTGCCAAATTGGGACAGTTGGATGGTATGTCTCTTTCTCACACACTCAGTCACTTACACTCATTTTTTACTTTTCAAGCCATATGTTGCTGTTCTTCATAGAATTATAGGATCATACAATAGGAAGAGACCACAAGGGCCATCCAGTCCAACCCCTGCCATGCAGGAATTCTCAATCAAAGCATCCCCGACAGATGGCCATCCAGCCTTTGTTTGAAAACCTCCAGAGAAGGAGACTCCATCACACTCTGAGGCAGTCTATTCCACTGTCAAACAGCTCTTACCATTAGGATATTTTTCCTAACAATTAGGTTGAATTTCTTTTCCTGTAGCTTGCATCCATTTCTCTGTGCCCTAGTCTTTGGAGCAGCAGAAACAAGCTTGGTTCATCCTCAATATGACACCCCTTCAAATATTTAAACATGGGTATCATGTAACCTCTTAGCCTTATCTTTTCCAGGTTAAACATACCCAGCTCCGTCTCTCCTCATAGGACATGGTTTTCAGATCTTTCACAATTTTGGTCACCCTCCTCTGGACACAATCCAGCTTGTCAACATCCTTTTCGAATTGTGATGCCCAAAACTGGACACAATATTCCAGGTGAGGTCTGACCAAAGCAAAATAGAGTGGTACTATTACTTCCCTCAATCTCGACACTATACTGCTATTGATGCAGCCTAGAATTGCATTGGCTTTCCTAGCTGCTGCATCACATTGCTGACACATGTTCAGGCTGTAGTGTAGTAAGACTCCGAGATCCCTTTTTCATATACTACTATCAAGCCAAGTGTCCCCCATCCTATATCTGTGTACGGTATTTCATTTAGTTTTGGCCCAGCTTTCTAATCTGCTATGGTCATTTTGAATTCTGCATAACTGTGGCCCATGGACTGCCTTTTGCCCACCTATTCAGTGGCGGTCTTGTAGTTCTGTGTCTGTGGGGCATTGAATCTGCTGTGACTTTTAATCTGAACCCTAAATAGGCTATCCAAGGAACTGGAACCCTTTCTCCAAAAGGGATCAGAACTTTGAATAGGTTTTCTAAAGTTTGGACTAAAACTTGGAGCAGATCCACTGCCCTATTGCCATGGGAGCTACCAGCTACAAATATGGAATGGCTCTAAAGCGGCGCTGGATAAAATCTGGGGAAATTGCGTTGCCATCAGAGGAACAGTATTTCAAGCAGCAGCTGAGTTTCTGCTAGGACATGTTGAAGAAGAGCTGCTGGGTTCAGGCAACTTTGTGTTTTCTTGTTTGACCTTTTCTTTTACAGAGATTCCATCAGTACATGTAGTGGTGGTGACAGTAACAGGATTTATGTGGAGCATTAAATTATGGGCAGGGGAGATAGATGGGGAAAGAATGGTCACTTCACTGCTTTTTGCTGTGCCTTTGGCCTGCCGGTCCTAACTTCCCCCACCTGCGGAGTTGTTGAGCTACATTAAATTTTGCATTCTGGGTGGAAAACTGCCATGGCTTTTCCTCAAGCCACCTGGCGTCCAGCTGTGTTCTAGTGTGTCAAAGATTTGGAATATCTCACAGTGACACATCTGCTAGGTGTGGGTAGTGTTCACTAGCCAAGGTTTTCTGCTTGGTGAGAAGCCAGAGTTCTGACAGCCATGCCTCATGCCAATCATTTGTTTGTTGCCAATCCATTTGGGGATGGCATCTCGCCATGCTTGGCCTCTGTGAACATGGGAGATGTAGGCACACGCCATGGGGATATCAGGAAAAAGAATGATTCCTGTGAGGGATGGCTCACTGGTGGGTTTGCCAAACAGGAAGGTGACTGCATGCTGGCAAAGCAGGAGTTGTGTTTGCAAAGATCCAGAGATGTAAGTTAGGTGACACATGGGCATTTATTTATTAAGTACAGCTACAGACTATCTGAAAGCTTGCATATCCTCCAACATTTTGCAGATGAAAACCAGAGCACATGCAACCAAGCAACACCAAAGTGTGGTCAAGATGGCAAAACATATCAATGAGGAAGTACAGACAAGCTAGGAAAGGTTGCAACAGTTTGCTTTTGCCTGAATCTTCTAAGAAGGGCAAAATTCTGCCCTCTCATCTCTTCTCCTCACAGAAGGGTTACTTACATTCAAGCTACTTTTGCACTTTGAATCCATTTTGCAGCATTTCAAGTAACATGAGGACAAAGGAGGGAATTCAGAGGATAAAAAAAGAAGCTGGGGCATTTTAAAAGCATCTGAAAAAGTGGGATGGCTGGATTAACTGAGACTGTCCTGGACAAATTTGGACTATTGGTGGGTATGAGATTGTATCTCCCTGTATTAACCCACCAGAGTTTTAATATCCTCAGGCGAGGGATTTCTCTTGACCCCACTCCCATGGTGAGGACATGAGAGAAGGCCTTCTTGGTAGTGGCTCCAAGATGGTAGAATTTCCTTCCATGGGCAGCTGGATGGCCCCCTTCTCTGCTTTCCTTTCATTGGCAGGCAAAGACCTTTTTGTCCAAAAAGTCATTTCATGGCTACAAGGAGACTTTTAAGTGTTTGTGTGCAGCATTTTTTTAACTTTGTAGCTTTGTTTTTTTAAAATGATTTTATACTTTAAAGAAATTAGTGGTGTTTTAATGTGATGAATTGTATCATCTTATTATCTCTATAGTCATTTGGTCAGTGTGACTGTAAAGTGGTCACTTCATATTTCCTACCACTCTCTACTAAAGGGTTAAGAGTTTTACAACTCTGTTCTAAGTCTCTTCTTCTTCCTACCTTGGTCCAAGATGGATGCAACCACAAGGCTGTCCTAAGGATGCTTTCCCACCTACTTGTATGCATGGGGTCAGCTATAGGGACTCTCCTAGTAAGTATAGTTTTGCTACTGATTGCTTTCTTTCCTAGATGCTAGATGAATTCTTTGTAACAATAAAGAAAGTCTTACTTTTACCTTATCACTGTATTCTATTTAATTACCAGAAATTCAGATATATAATGTTGGATCACACACTGCTACTGTGCTTAATATATAAACTACAGAATTTTACTACTACATTCCAACAGGGTGCTGGTGCCACTCAGAAAGCCCTTTCCTCACCCTATCCTGAGCTGTGCATGGCTCACCGCCATTACCAGCTGGGTGGGAAAGGGAGGGGATGGCGGCAGGAAGGGCAGGAGTCCGTGGCGTGACAACAGCATCTCCTTTTCTGGCCAGCAGCCCCACCAGACCCAGAGGTGGCTGCCATGTTGCATCAGCACCTTACTGCCACCAGTAGCTGCAGTAGTGGTGGCAACCATTGGTGACAGTCACGGAAGCCTACACAACCCCCGTCTCCTCATAGCTTGGAGGATATATCATAGGATCTGGGATGAGCCATATGCGAGAGAAAAGCCATAGATCCAAAATGGGAAGGTTATATAGACCACGGAGATGTGACACAAAGGTTTGGTAAAGGCCTTCAGAGGAAATTTCAGTCCGGTTAATGAAGTTATGACAAGTAGGTCAAATTAGGCTGTATGCCTTTGGCAGCACTGTCTGTCTGTTTTATTATTTTATGTTAGTATAGCACTATGCATACACCCAGAGCCAGCATGGTGTAAAGGCTTGCGCATTGGACTATGACTCTGGAGACTAGGGTTCAAATCCCAGTTTGGCCCTGTAAACCCACTGGGTGACCTTGGGCAAGTCACACTCTCTAAGCCTCAGAGGATGGCAAGGGCAAACCCACTTTGAAGAAACTTGCCAAGAAAACTCTGATAGGTTCTGAAATGACTTGAAATCGCACACAACAACATACTGATGGCACTAAATGAACAATCCTCCTCCTCCTCCTCCAATAGGTGTTTGATAATAACAAAGATGGGTAAAATAGGTACATAATTAAAAGATGAAGAAACTCTGTGCTGTTCAATAGGCAAAGATTTATCATACAAACAGTTGTCCCAAAGTGTATATTTAATGATCCAATTTTGCACTGAACATTCCATCTTACGCTCCATAGTGGTACATAGGCCTGACTTTCCCTTCATTCTCTTTCCC